ACATTTGCTATAAAATGCTCTATGACAAAAGCCGAGAAATTAGAGTTAGTACTCTCATTAAAATCTGATCAAACAATCGATTTACTTCAGGTTATCGTTTTTGTCAAGAAAATCACTGCTCGACTTAAGGATTGATAAACAAGCACAAATTCGTGAAGTAAATCTGGCCGATCATTAATTAGACGATAGGAAAAAATGATTTTGTCTGTCGATGAACATGCTTTCAAAAGGAATTCAGTTCTTCGTGTACCACATAACTGATGAATGTAGTGTTGATCATGACATTGGTAGAATAGGAAAACATAATTATTTATACATTGATCAGTAGAAGAATTGGCTTCATCAAAGTTTAGATCGAGGATATACAAATATGCGTATTCATTTGAATTCTCTTGTGTCCTCAATGTTACATTGATGCTTTCTGTCTGAACATACGATGAATACAAGTAACTTGCAAAAATACCAGACCTTTCAGTCGTTCCACTTATTTGAAATGAACAAAGATCTTGCATTGGTTGCTCAGAAGTTGATGTTGGTAAACATTGATATTTAACAAAAAGAAAGATAATTGACAATTATTTTATAACATTCAGGTAAAGTAACTATATTTATAAACGATACAGAACATGCTTGCTTTCCTGAACAAGTTTCATAAATATGATTCGCTTTACTTGTACAATCACTTGAAGTATAAGCACAACGATTACATTTGCTATAAAATGCTCGATGAATAATGGTTGCATAATCTTGTAGACATTGAAAATTATTTTTACTGTATAAAACTGATACATCTGGATTGCATAAGGGTTTAAACATTTGTAAAGATGGATTAGGAAAATAATCCGATCGTGATGATACTATTGCCGATATTAATGTTCGAAATGTATTTAGGCGTTATTATTTCCTCATATATTTCATCTAGTGTTCGTGTTTGTATATGATCTACCATACATCTCCATAATATTATTATCAATAAAAACAAACAATTGATCTTTTGTGCAACTATGTTCAGTTGAATTCGGATTATTGAAATTCATTTCTAAGATATAAAGACAAATATTTTGATATGATTTTAATGTTTGTAAATTATATGTACAATTAATATTATTTTGTTTATTTGGAAAATTAGGTCAAATTATAAATCCACGACAAGTATCATCTTGTGGTAATGAACCACTATTACGCATATTATAATAGTTGTTTCAGGTGATGTTATTACAGGTTTATCATAAACCCAATCAGTTGGACGCATTTGACTTTCAATATATAATTGAGCACTAGAAGAAAAAAAATGTTGAATCACCATTAGCAATATAACATAAATCAAGTTCATTTAAATAACTTGAATAAATTAAACTATATGAACGTTGTTCACAAAAATTTGAACCTTGACTTTTATTTGATTAACATTGAGTTGAACAATCATTTAAATTAATATCAAGTACATAAAAATTGATAGTATAACTTACATTAGTTTTTATTCGATATATACAATTCATTTTTCTAAAATTTGGCTAACCATATGTTGGAAAACTACCATGACGATTAATTTGCATTTGAACTTTTGAAACATGTGATGAACAGGCAATATTTGGTGGAGCAAGTTTAGTATTTGTTGGTATACATTGATATTCAACATATTGATTTAGCATCTATTGTATTACTACATGATACGTAGAATAACTCGATTTCCTGTATACAAGTGTGCATATCTTTGACGATATGTACCTGTTGGTTCTGTTGTAGCAACAAAATGATTATTTACATCATGTAGTTCACATTGATTAGATTGAGGAACACCAAATATATTTTTAGTAATAACTACACTATAATTATTAGGATATTCAGTAGTATATGATTCACCTGAAAAGACGAAATTTTGAATTCTTTCATAGTTGATGAATTAAATATAATATACTTTTACAAAGTTAAAAACTTCGAACATGTGCTGCAATGCCTAGTGTAACAAAACTAGGAGTATTTGTTGATAAGCTTGGTTCAATAGTTGATACTGTTGTTGGGATTACTCTTATATTTGGATAAATATCAATCATCTAGAAAATAAACAACAATATCAAAATACATTCTCATTCCTCTGTATGTTACATTTGTTGATGAAACAAAATATTGAATAACAATTGTAGATGAACATTAATATGGATAAGCATATCTTTTAAGACCACAATTTTTATATGTTTGTAAACTATTAGGAACATAATATACACGTATCACATGGAAATATTTGGATGTAGTCATTTGATATTGTGGTAGAAAACCAAGACTTTGAATAGATCCACGATCAATTGTGATTTTTGTACTATTTTGACATATAATATATTCTTTTCATTTATAATCTATTGATGTTGGTAAACAATCATATTCAATATGAACATAACTGTTACATTCATCATTACATTGTGGTAATTTTTTTTTCATTGCAACTATCCGACATAGATTAGAATAATGTGTACATGTTACTATAGTCATGACGTCAGGAAAGCAATCATTTGGTGAATAACTACATGATCCAGATATTGTGCAACACCGTATGAAACATTGCGAACAATAACAACATTATTATCTGAACAACGAAGAGTAATAGTTGATGATGCAAATGAATTTTGCGGGAATATTATTTGAGCATATTGTCTATTAGTAGTCTATTAGAATACTAGTACCTGTAATAATACTTATTGATATTTTTTTGTCTTTTATTCACTCAGTTCTCGATAAAATGAGTTATATGGTTATCTTAGAAATTCAGGCTTTTTTTTGTCAATTGTTCTTGTACTACTAATTGAATAAGCTAATTTCATTATGTCTACATTATTTCATTTGTGGAAATTCTCTTTTTTCTCTTCACTCTTCTTATTCTCTCCTCTTGTTGTGCTGACTGTTCCATATTTATGTAAACATTGATTAGTTCTATCTACTTTTGTTGGTGGTCTCTCATACATAAATATTTTTGCTGTTGTCTGGTGAGAGATTGAAATAATTTGTTCCGTGCTTGCTTTTGTGAAAGTTATTAAAAAAAATATTATGATAACAAATGAATCTGCTTCGACAACTCAAGAATTTACATTTATTTTATTTTATTTTTGTCATTAATTAAAATATTTTTTAGAACATATGTAACAGACGAGAAACTCAATCATATTAGGGAAACTTGTCATATAATTAATATTTTATAAAATTGTATACATTACAAAACTCTTTTTTTGTAGGTAGCAATATTTTGAATAGTATCAAATGCATCTTTTACCCTATTTCAAGTAAAAACATTTTTCTATTTTGGTCTTTTAGACTTTTGAAATTATTAATTTAAATGCAGAGGAAAAAGATAAAACAGAAAATGAAAGTTTAATATAATTTTCAAATTCTACATGCTATTTAAACATTGGAAGTTGAATCAGTTCTACGATGTGGAAGCTCCAACCAATGAGTTCTCTTAAGAATTGAGTAGACATTTTGAGATTTTTATGTCATATCATATATTGAGAAATGAATATGATGTTAATATTTATGACATTGATATTCTCATGATATTATATATCTATATAAGTACATACGTCTCATCCTGTTACCTATAGTTTTTTGTTTAGATTATGGACATAGTCGTTTTCGTGTTCGTGTTAATATTGTTATTCCCATCTTTTGTTTGTACTGTTTCTCCATCAACAGTTTAAAAGGCTGAAAATTTTCTCCTAGCTTGTAAAATGTTAATTATACATAAAGAACAAACTCATGTACATATGTACTCATTTATCAATATAGTATATGAATTCCCTTAAATTTTAAATATCTGAATGATGGATATATAGTTTGCACTTGGTGCATCTTATAAGATTGTGCACTCGAGGACAAATAGTGTGTCATGCTTGAGTAGACAAAGAAAGCTAATATTATTTTTAAATAGTAAAGAAAAGAAAAAGAGACTGATAAATGTGCACGTGTGACGATTGACGCATTATATTGTGTTTTTATTATTGTGCTACGTTGTCCAAAAAAGAAACTCAAAATAATAATATTCGTTTTCTCCGTATTGGAAATAAATATTTATTCAATCGATGATTTTTATCGATTAAGTACACAACTAAGTATGTTTTTTCTGCTGTTTTAGTCATTCTATGGCTCATGAAAACATACAAGATGAGACAACGCCACGATTCATTCCATCGACACGTTTCATCATAGCTTTACTTGTCTCTTTTGCACTTTTTATTCAATATGCACAGCGACAAAGTCTATCTATTGCAATTGTATGCATAGTCAATAAGACGATCATCAATATCGAAGTTGATTCGACACTATATTTGGTTCGTCTGGAAGAGAATGCTACCCTCACATCTTCGGTCAAACATATACCTCAAATTTTTAAAGAGAAAACATTTCATTGGAATGAATTCGAACAACAAATCATACTCGGTGCATATTGGGCAGGTTATATTTTAACACTCGTACCAGGTATAGAATTAAAAAGATAAATTATTGATTTTACGTGTACATGTAATAGGTGGCTGGATCTCGATGAGTATTGGTGCTAAGCGAGTGTTTTCTTACTGCCTACTAACAAGTTCTCTGGCAACATTGGCTCTGTCAGTTATTTATACAATGGCAGAAACACAATTTTTGCTTATACTGATCATTGTCCTACGAATAATTGCTGGTCTCGGCCATGGTGCTCTCTTCCCGGCTACGTATACAATATGGGTGTTATGGGCAGTCCCCAACGAACGAGGTACTTTGACATCCATCAGTTTTTCTGGTACGCATGTTGGTACATGTAAGTAGATATTTTTGTTCTATCTACAGTGAATGATTGTTGATAATATTCTTTTGTCTAGCTACAATGATGCTGATTGGAGGTATTTTTTGTCATTATATGAATTCAGGTTGGATGTATATATTCATTTTGTCAAGTATCTTCGGATTAATTTGGTTCCCGTTATGGCTATGGCTTGTAACAGATTCACCACAAGAGCATAAAAAAATAAATCAAATTGAACGTAACTATATTTGTAGTGTTATTGGTAGGAAAAGAAACAATAAAAGTCGACAACTCATTGCATTATCTTCACTACCATGGAAGAAAATTGTTCGATCGAAACCAATTATTGCTTTATTCATCACACATTCATCTAATGTGTTTGGACTGTTTTTCTTTTATACAAATATCGGCAAGATACTCACAGAAATCCAGGGTCTTGTTCAACATTTCTCAAGTACACTTTTCTCTTATTTTTAAAAAGCATAGTACTATGAGACGACCATATTTCTGAACATGCCTCTGGTGTACTGCCTCAAAATGCTGGCTATTTATTAGCCGTCGGTTATATAATTATGGCATTTTGTAGTCTTTTATCTGGTAAGAAGAAAAAATCGAAAAGTTAATGCTTGCAAACAATAGCCCATATATAGGTATTGTCGCTGATCGTCTCGTTCAAGGAGATGTGATGTCATTGACAAACGTGCGAAAATTATTCAATTCGCTTGCATCGTTCATTCCTGTCGTATGCATGTTTGTACTTTGTTTTTGTGATGAAACTCGACAGATTTTAGGCATCGGAACTTTGCTCGTTTTCCTCGGCAGTTCAGGTGAGTACTATTACAAAGAAAATTCTACTCCAAAATCAACTGTAAATAATAATGAATATGAATTCACCATGGATTCTTTCATTCTGATATCAACCTATAATGAGCAAGAGGATGATTGAAGATTCTTTTTGAAGCAATCTATTTTCGTGAAAATGAGTTTCTAAGTAATTTGTATTATTGTCAAATTCAAACACGTCGTCCATCAATTCGTAGATATATGGCAGCGTGAATAAATTGACTAACCAAGTTTTATTCATGAATAATTTCAGGTTTCGGTTATGGTTCTGGCTATGTTGTCAATTTTGCCGATGTGGCACCGGCCTATTCAAGTCTTCTTTTTGGTCTATCGATCACATTTGGATCCTTGGCCGGCCTTTCGGCAAACATCTTGGCAGGCTTTCTAATCAAACAGCCGATTCTCAGCGATTGGCAATACATGTTCATCATTTTTATATGTGTCTACACTTTTGGTGGTCTCATCTACTTAGTGTTTGGTTCGGCTATTCCACGAAAATGGGCTACAGATGTACATGAAGAGCATAATACCAATATCGAAAATGAAGCATCCATAGATCCATCGGAGACCATGCTCGAAACTTAAGACTTGTCGAACTACGTTGAATTCACTAAAAACTAAAAATTGAAGTGGTCTTAATCGTGATGAACTGACAGCTGTAAATAATTTTGTTTCTCTTAAAATAAATCCTGCTCCATATTTTTTATTTTATGAATTGAGTACTTTGAAACTGAAATAACTAATAAAGCTATATTTTACACAGATAAATACAATGAATAAAATGAATCGAATCAAGTAAACCGGAAAAAAGTTTTCTATAGCTTAAAACATACATTAGAGAATTTATTATATACAATAGTCGTGTCGGAAACTTCGTACGTGATTGTAAAGGATATAAAACATCGAAACCAACATCTTCACTCATCCAGAAAGTGATGTCACTATAATAGTTGTTTTTAGAAAAGCCGTTTGCTTCATATTTCTAGAAAAAGTGTCCGAAGTTACCCAGATTATTTTCGACACAAAATTTTATCTTTTCAATTCATGTTTCAGGTATTATTTGGTATTTATGAACAGGTATCGTATTAAATCATTGTTTCGTGAATCAATTACTGGTGTTAGGTAAGTCCTAAAAATTTGACGAAAGACAGAAGTGTTGCATGGACGATGTGACTGTGAATTTGAGTCTTCTATTCAGTCACACCCACATTCACTAACATAGACCAATTAGCGTAAGAAACGGAAACCAGAGATGAGAGTTAGAATGATAGGCAAATGTGCTCATTTCATCAAAAGTGACAACTAGTCGCTCTTTAGATATTCTTCAAGTATTTGATTTTTTTTCTAAATAAATGCCAAGCATATTCGAATATGTATTATCTGATGTACTGCGCTTTTTGAATGTTGGTAACACCCAATTAGAATCTTTATACGCAACAGAGT